TCTGCCAGAGTTTCTGAGCCATCGCGAGCCGGGCCCGGACCTGGAGCCCACAGCGGCGCGGCGAGAGAAGCTGGCGTCTTCCTAGCTTGCCCACGCGGAGTGACCCCCAGACATCTCACTAAAATGAGCGTGCTTAGCAGGAAGAGATGTGTTCCTTACACTAGCAATTACCCCGTCACATGTAGTGGTGTAAGTAAATGATTGATTTCTGTTTTGGCCTGGTTGCAAGCAGCCTCGCCCTCCCGCTGCCTCCTGCGTGTCATCTCCCGGCCTGCTTGCATCCCTTGTCTTCCCCCAGGGCTCTGGCTTCGCTGCTGGCTTTTGAGAGGGTGAGGGGCTAACCTTCCCCGTGCTGTTTCCAGGGAAAGGGCGTTGACTCGATTGCCTTGGCGTGTTGTGCCCCTCCCCCTTTCCTTTCTTCTTTTTACATTGTGTGTGCAGAACAGCGTGTGTGTGTGTGTGTGTGTGTGCGTGTGTGTGTGTGTGTGTGTGTGTTGCGGGGGGGTTGAGGTGGAAGTGTTTCTGTTTTTTAAAACAAGCGGGTGGAATTTGGGCATTTTGCTTGCGGTTGTGAAGATGTCTCTTGGAGCTCCACTCCACTGCAGTCTGTGCCACTGAGTTGTGGTAAACTACTGGTGGAAACTGCTAGCATTGTTTGTAAAAATTTCCACATCTTAGGCTTGAGAAGACTCATCCTATGTTTAGTCTTGCAGTTTTACTAACATGACCATTCAAGATTCCTCTGGGCCTTGCTGCCCATTGGATCTAACCAAAGACCCATCTCTCCACCTTCTTCAGTACTGCAAATGTCAGCGACCCCAGTGGGAGCGCCTTTATTTCCAAATTCACCCTGGCACATCTCCTCTGTTCATCCTTCCTATCCATCTTATTGATTTTTACCTTCATTTTCAGGATTTTCCTCCCTTTCACGTTTTGTAAGATGCAGGATGTGGGATTTGGTTGCCAGGAGACAAGCCAGGCTCCCAGGGAGATTCTGTTGTTTCCTTGACAACCAGACTAGGGCAGCCACAGATGAACAAGCCTCCTATCAGTTGTGGGAGGGTAAAGGGGGCCTTTTCCGAGCTCTGTGAAGAGTGTGTGTAGGGGTGTGGGGGTAGGAATGGGAGCCCTTGTGGCTTGTAGATAATCTGAGTACACCTTCAGGTCTGGCCTGGACCAGACGAGGAACTGGGAGAGTGGTTGGGCAGGAAGCTGTTTTGGGAAAGGGCCACAGTGATCATGCTGCAAGGGCCAGGGGTGCTGGGGGGATTTATGCCAGTGACTTTGGGATTATCCGGGAGAGGAGGGAATTGGGAGTTATGATACCCAGGAGAAGGAAATATTAGTTTCTGGAGACTACTTGGGAGGCTTTGCAGGAATAGGGATGAAGCAATGGGGAGAAAAAGTCTAGAGTCATTGAAGGTGAGGGTGCCAGAGGGAAAGGGAAGTTGAGAAGCTCACTGAGTAGGTTGTACCATCATGTGTCAGCAGTGGTCTAGAAAAGTAGCAATATCCAGAGTAGAAATTATATTACTGTTGGCACAGTAGCTCCAGGACAAGATTCTCATTTAAGACAGGCCTGATTAGACAAAGAGTTCTGCTGGCTTAATTGGGCCAGTCTGTATCTTAAAGAGAGATATAATTACACATATGGATATGCAATCTAGCATTATATAATACTACATTACATAAGAAGACCAATTCCTCCTTTTACCCAGGCTTTCTTGGCACAAGTTAATGGAGATCATGAGACTTTCTACCAGTTCCCTCATACCCATTTTCCAGAGGGGAAGACTGATGCCCACCAGAGTGCCATGATTTGCCTTTTCCTTGTTGGGATGGTGAAGTTCGCCAGTCAGGCAGGGACAGGGGTGGAATGGTGAAGATGATAAACATAGAAGATGTTTGGGAGGACACACTGGAGAAAGAAGTCAGAGGGGCAACTGTGGAACACATGGGGAGGGGTGTTCAGCTTGGCAGCCACCCAGCAAATCTGGTGTCTGAACTCATGGCCCGGTATAAGTCACTTTTCTACTTGTTGGTCGGCTGTCCTCTCCCTAACCCTAGAGGTAACATAACATAAGGTGTGCAGGTGTATTTTAATCATAAGGTAGTGGAGCCCAGACCAGCCCTGCCCTGTTGGTGTCTTGGTATCATCCCCACTACCAAGATGCTCCTGGGTTGAACATCTGAGCCTGGACTCCCTCCTTTCTCCTCTTCCCCACCTCTGCCTCAAGAGTTCCAGGCCTCCAGAACCTAGACCCCAGAAAGTTCTGTGGGCCGGTGGGTTTGAATTTCTATCTTACAGTGGCAGGCGCTTTCCAATTGGGATTGGATGTTTTGTTATTCATTCAAGAAGCAGAGGCCACACCCACAGGCCTCCTCCCTGAGGCTCTCAGACATCCCTGAGCTGACTGACTTGAGATCAGGACCATCAGCGTGGGCTTCCTGGTCCTGAACTCAGGAGAGAGAAGAGGGAGGAGGAAGCTAGTGATGAGAAGAGCAGTGGCCTGATGGGAAGAGGATGATGCAGATGCGGGGGGGCTGCATGGCGACTCCTTATTGTTTAAAGGTCCAGATGTTATGAAATTCCAAGGAAGAAGAGGTGAAGGAAGCCATCTCACTGAAAAGTCCTTTCTACACTTTTTGCTTAGGTTGCTGAGCTGCATCCACTCGGGCAAATCCCAGTTGCCATCGTTACTTGGGTATTTTGGTTCTGCATTCCTGCATGTTGGCATCCAGTTACAGCCCACAGGAATGGAGCTTCTCTGCTGCTGCTGGTGGCCTGGCCTGGGCTGGATGGCTCAACAGTGAGGTGCCTGTGCAGCCTTCACTCCCCTGAACTTCCAGGTCGTTCTAGCCCCCAGACAGCTGCTCCTGCACGCAGGAAGTTTGAGCAGGGGCCGACTGATGACCTTGCAGAAACTAGTTCCCTTCCCTGCCTCTCAGCCCCTCCAGGAGGGTGGATTCCTGCTGAGAGGCTGCCAGCCTAGGCCCCTTTGAGCCTCCTAGTAACAGCTTTTTAAACACTGACATGGCATTTTGACTGCAGTAAGGCCTTCTGTTTGTTCATTCAAGCCATCCCTCACTAGGGGTGAACAAGCTACCTCCTCTGTGCCCAACAGTGAAGGAAACTGAGGCAAGCATTTGCCCAAAATTCAGGCAGAAGCTGTGACCTTCTGCTTCTCCTAGCAAGCGTGTACTCTGTGGAGACAACAGAGTGAGCCTCTCCTGGGCATGTCCACTGCAGGGTCTTCCTAAGTGTGGAAAGTGCAGAGGAGGACAGCTCTCACTTTCTTTGGGACTGGGTGCAGGATACTGAGGAGGGGCAGCCCAGGTAGGGGATGAAAGGGCCTGATCAGTCGGCCAAGCATGTCAAGCTGGTCCTTAGCTGAACAAGACACATGGGCATTGTGGCAGACCCAGCGTAGGGGAGGAAAGGCCTGCAAGCTGGGCAGGTGCATCCAGAGGCCTCTGTCACCCGCAGAGGCTGGCCGAAAACCTCTCCCATCTCTATAAAGAGGTCTGAGCTTGGAGGAAGGATGTGAGCAGGCTGGGGCATGGAAATGCACCACTGGAGAGGGCCGGGGCAAAGGGAGAGGCCAGGGGAGCTGCCACCCAATGCTGATAAGTCCATTAAATTTTAAAGTGGCCCTGTCCTGGGGCATGCTGGGAAGGGGTGGGGACTTGGCCTCAACTCTGCTTTTCTCAGCTGTTTGTTCTGATGCTGTCACAGACTTGGGAGGGAGGAGGAGAGCAGAGGCTGAGTGAGTGCCCAGGCACATGCTCCTCTCTCTGGGGCATCTGGGACAGGACAGGTGCTGGGCAGGGTCCGCCTTGGGATCTCTCACAGGCCTCTTCCATCTGGAAGCCCAGCAGGAGGATGGTGGGGATCAGAGGGAGACCAGTGATCCATCTGGTGGTGTTGCCCCTCTCAGCCTGAATAGGCTCTGTTTCCTCAGGCCCCTGTGGAGCCACTGCCCCGAAAGTTGCCACCTCTCCTCCACAGGGGGGCCCCAGCTGACGAGAGCTACCTGCCTGGACCGTGGTCTTGGCTGGCATGCCAAGCCGTCCTGATTGCTCCCCTCCTGCCCTGCAGGTCTCAATTAATGGATTCTGACATGGATTATGAAAGGCCAAACGTAGAGACCATCAAGTGTGTGGTGGTGGGGGACAACGCCGTGGGCAAGACCAGGCTCATCTGTGCCCGGGCCTGCAATGCCACCCTCACGCAGTACCAGCTGCTCGCCACCCATGTGCCCACAGTGTGGGCCATCGACCAGTATCGTGTGTGCCAAGAGGTAAGGCTGCAAGACCACTCAGCGGGGGACCACACCATGCTTCTGTGGCTTCTTCCTAAGCTGTGGCTTGACGTCTCCAGGCCTCACAGGGCCCCCAAGTTGAGGGGTGGGGGCACTGAAGCATAAGGAGCTCTGGAGACAGGTTGAGGGGAGCCCACGCCTGAGGCATTGTCTTCAACCATTTGTGTTTTGAATAGTTGGGCTGGCGCCTGGCAGACTCCAGACTTGGCTGGGTACTGCGTATTGTGCAACCGAAGCCCTAAGTAAAGGGGAGTCCTCTGGGCTACAGCTTGAGAGGGTGAGAGTGGAGAGGGGAGAAGATCCATTGCCAGAAAGTACGTGATTGCAAGGAAAGCTGGGATCAAGGGTCAGATCCCAGCGATCCCCGAGCAGTCTGCCTTCTTCGGGCCTCTCCCACTTCTGCTCGGCTATGAGGCCACCCTCTTCCTGATTCACCAGAGATTTCGCTTGGATGAGTGTGTTGCCCAAGGCACACAGTAGGAGATGCCACTTTGTCACTTCATACCCCCCCCATGTTGCCATGGAGCCTCAGGGGCAAGATGGCACCTGACCCAGGAGCTGCCACCTTTGTCTCCACCCCTCCCCCCAGGTGCTGGAACGCTCCCGAGATGTGGTAGATGACGTCAGCGTCTCCCTGCGCCTCTGGGACACCTTTGGAGACCACCACAAAGATCGCCGTTTTGCTTATGGGAGGTAGGGGAGGCTGTGCTTCCTGTGGTGAGCCGTGTGAATGGGGTTTTCCTGTTTCCCCGAGGGACCAAGCAACTATGTGCACCCGAAACCGAGAGGAGAGTGGAGGAAAACAACATGGCAGATGCCTTCGGGGCAGGGCAGGATGGAGGAGTCTGAGCTCAGGGCCCAGAGGCCTGTTTGAGTCCCAGCTCTGCCACACATTAGCCTTGAGCTGATTTTTCCTTCCATGAGGTGTTAGAAATGGTAATTTTGAACTAGCAAGATAACTGTGAGGCCCTACGAGAGTCTTCAAGCTGTAAAATGCTACATAAATTAGAGGTACTATTATTATGCGTTGTGTGGGAGATCAGGGGAACAGGCTCATAAGCCAGGTTTGGTCCTCAGCACAGGGGTGGGAGTGGGCACGCATGTCCCCTCATTTCAGGTCAGGTCACTTCCCGCCAGCTTTCTCTGCCCGTGGCTTTTCTCTCTCCCACCCCCAGATCGGATGTGGTGGTTCTGTGCTTCTCCATTGCCAACCCCAATTCCCTCCACCATGTCAAGACCATGTGGTACCCAGAAATCAAGCACTTCTGCCCTCGAGCACCTGTCATCCTGGTGGGCTGCCAGCTGGACCTGCGCTATGCTGACCTGGAGGCTGTCAACAGGGCAAGGCGGCCCTTGGCTAGGTAGGGAGGCTGTGGGCTGGGGAGCCGGGTGGGCACATCACCATAGCTCCCTGCTCAGCCCTGACAGAGACCCACTGAGGCTTCCATCTTTCCTTCCATGTAGAGTGAGCTCGTAGCGCTAACAAGCATGCTTGTTCACCCCTCCGTTCATCCTACTGGGCGAGTAGTACTGTGCCTAGGCCCTATGCAGAAAGACAGAGGGCCGGTGGGATTTGCATGAAAAGATCTTCCAATTTTGTTGGAGCTGATGCAGCTGACCTTCCAGAGGTTCGGCCTCTGGATTCAACCAACCATGAATAGAAACTATTTTTTTAAAACTGCATCTGTATTGAACATATACAGATTTTTTTCTTTGTTATTATTTCCTAAACAAGGTATCGTAATAACTACATAGCATTTACATTGTATTCAGTGTCATAAATAATTCAGAGATGATTTCAAGTATAGAGGAGGATATGTACAGGTTATATTTATACTGTGACGTTTAAAATCTGGGACTTGAGGTTCCACAGGTCTTGGTATCCAGGTGGGGCCTTGGAGCCTTGGAGCCCGTCTCCCTGGAATACTGAGGGACGGCTGAGTCTGAGGTTAATATGTTCATTGCCAGAGAGGGAGGTGGCGCTATCACTGTTTAGAACGGGGGTGTGTGTTGGGGGGGGTCACTAGGGCCTGGCATAGATAGGGAACTGGGGAAGGCATGCTGGAAGATGAAGGGTTTGGAGGAGGACCTGAGCGACCTTATAGGAACTTGGCCAGGCAGAGGAGAAAGAGCAGGGTAGGAGAGGGGCCAGTGACAGATCAGGAGCAGAGTCCCTCCAGCCTGGGGAAGGATGGGCCGGCTCCCTGTACCACCAACACAAGTTTGGTTTCCCTCCTTGAACTCACCAGGCCCATCAAGCCCAATGAGATCCTTCCCCCAGAGAAGGGTCGGGAGGTGGCCAAGGAGCTGGGCATCCCCTACTATGAGACCAGCGTGGTGGCCCAGTTTGGCATCAAGGACGTCTTTGACAATGCCATCCGGGCTGCACTCATCTCCCGGCGCCACCTGCAGTTCTGGAAGTCCCACCTGCGCAATGTGCAGCGGCCTCTGCTGCAGGCGCCCTTCTTGCCCCCCAAGCCACCTCCCCCCATCATCGTGGTGCCCGATCCCCCCTCCAGCAGTGAGGAGTGCCCTGCCCACCTCCTGGAGGACCCGCTCTGTGCGGACGTCATCCTGGTGCTGCAGGAGCGGGTGCGTATCTTTGCCCACAAGATCTACCTCTCCACCTCCTCCTCCAAGTTCTACGACCTGTTCCTCATGGACCTGAGTGAGGGGGAGCTGGGAGGCCCCTCGGGGCCAGGAGGCCCTTGCCCAGAGGACCACCGGGGCCACCCCGATCAACACCACCACCATCATCACCACCACCATGGGCGGGACTTCCTGCTACGGGCAGCCAGCTTTGATGTGTGTGAGAGTGTGGATGAGGCAGGAGGCTCCGGTCCTGCTGGTCTCCGAGCCTCAACCAGTGATGGGATCCTGCGGGGCAACGGAACAGGGTACCTGCCAGGCAGGAGTCGTGTGCTGTCTTCCTGGAGCCGAGCTTTTGTCAGCATTCAGGAAGAGATGGCAGAGGATCCTCTGACCTACAAATCCCGGCTGATGGTAGTGGTGAAAATGGACAACTCCATCCAGCCGGGGCCCTTCCGGGCTGTTCTCAAGTACCTGTACACAGGGGAGCTGGGCGAGAATGAGCGTGACCTCATGCACATCGCCCACATCGCCGAGCTGCTGGAGGTCTTTGATCTGCGCATGATGGTGGCCAACATTCTCAACAACGAGGCCTTCATGAACCAGGAGATCACCAAGGCCTTTCATGTCCGCCGCACCAACCGGGTTAAGGAGTGCTTGGCCAAAGGCACCTTCTCAGGTATGGGGCACGCTTGTCTCCAGGTAGCTTTCCCAGGTCCCATTAGCATTGCAAATGAGTTTCAGCTCCTGACATTCTGGAGCCAGGGCCACTGCTCCTGGAGTGGAGAGCTTGGTTGTTCTGGTGTGCAGCTTGTGGCCTCAGAAGGAAGCTGGGTAGTCAGGGTTCCCCGTCTGCCCTTGGGGTTGATCCTCCCCGTACTCACTGTCGCTCATGTGATGCCCTTTCTCCTCCCGGACAGATGTGACCTTCATCCTGGATGACGGCACCATCAGCGCTCACAAGCCCGTGTTGATTTCCAGCTGTGACTGGATGGCCGCCATGTTTGGGGGGCCATTTGTGGAGAGTTCCACCAGGGAGGTGAGGCTGAGCATGGGAAGGGGTTGGGGAGAGAGACTGTGATGGGCCCAGGAGTCTACCATATTCCAGGAGAGGGAATTACAGTTACATTGAAACTTGATAGTGTAGGAAGGACTTTCACCCATGACTCTCACATGTAGTGTGGTATTCCCACTTTGTACGTAAGGAGGGAAGGCCCTGACAACTGGTGATCTGTGAGCAGAAAGGAGAGATTAGGACTGGAACTCAGGATGGCTGATTCCTTGGCTCTTTACATAGTACCTTGTTGCCTCCCTGAACCATGTGAGACAACTGGAAAAAAGAAAATCCCAAGCTGAATCCATCTCTGTCTTCAAAATTAGGTTTAATTACTGTTGAGCTATGGTGAGGCCAGCATGTGGAGATGCCCGCCACTGAAAAGCTGTTCTGTTACTCACAGGTCCCAAGGAAGGGAGCGTGCACACCAGGGGGGCCTCACCAGCAGCACCAGGGCCAATCAGGAGGCAGAGGGTATCTGTGGGAAAGAACAGAAGGCACAGTAGGCAGGCTTAGGGTTGGCCTGCCTGGACCATTTCTTTGGCTCTGGGGTGTTTGGAGCAGAGGAATGAAGGGATTGTGAGAAGAGGCTGGGGGTGTGGTTGGCTTTGGGTATGAAAGGTCCACTTGTAAGCAGCTTCTTTGCCACCTCCAGGAATTGACTGGGAGGAGAAGCCCCTAGGGCCACCACGCTCTAAAGTCAAAATATCAAGCTTTGAATATAAAAGAGCATGCTGAGTACAGTCCTTGCCTGGTGGTCCCAAGGAAGGGAGCGTGCACACCAGGGGGGCCTCACCAGCAGCACCAGGGCCAATCAGGAGGCAGAGGGTATCTGTGGGAAAGAACAGAAGGCACAGTAGGCAGGCTTAGGGTTGGCCTGCCTGGACCATTTCTTTGGCTCTGGGGTGTTTGGAGCAGAGGAATGAAGGGATTGTGAGAAGAGGCTGGGGGTGTGGTTGGCTTTGGGTATGAAAGGTCCACTTGTAAGCAGCTTCTTTGCCACCTCCAGGAATTGACTGGGAGGAGAAGCCCCTAGGGCCACCACGCTCTAAAGTCAAAATATCAAAGCTTTGAATATAAAAGAGCATGCTGAGTACAGTCACCTTGCCTGGCCAGCTCACCTCTTTCTGTTTCCTATGCTACCACTTCCTCAGACCCCTAGACCAGAAGCTCAGAGCTTGATGGGTTTATCACTGTGTGCTTAGATAAGTTCTTTCTTTTCCATCCTCCCAGCCAAGCAGAGTATCCCAAGCCACAGCCCTTGGAATTCTCCACCATCTCTGAGTCCTAGAACATTAATTGCCCACCACCATTCCTTGTAGTTAAGGTTCTACTTTGCTCAGATGAGGGAAGTTCTGATGTCCCCTTGAAGTTTTCCCCACTGGTCTGTGATTGCTTTCGAGTCCAGGGACTAGGTCTTTGGCTTCTGCCAAGCACCTGTCTGTTAGTGAAGTATCACCAAATACTTGAATGAAAAGCCGAGCCAAGAGCAATGCAGTATCATTTCCCGATATCCAGAACATGACCTTCCTGAGATTTCTGGGAAGCAAGTACTCAGGGAAATCTAAGTGGAAGGCTTGAAGTGTGGGGTGGTTTCTGATGGTGAGAACAGGATTTGGATTTACCAAGGGCAGGACCAGGATTCTCTGCAACCTTGGGGACCTGCCTTCCCTGGACTCTTCTCAGTACCAGCGATACCAGCTTTACAGCTCTGGCCAGGGGCCGGGGATTTAGCTCAGTGGTTCTGTCACCTGCCTTGAAAGCACAAGGACCTGAGTTCAACCCCCCCCCAAAAAAAAGCAGTGCACTGTAAAGCTCTGGCCAACTCCCAGCACGCCCAGAGAGACTCACATCTGATGAGAAAGCAGTTTTGGTTGCAGCAGTGCTGCACAGAGATCCCGGAGGCCCAGAGCAGCAGCTTTGAGCAGCCGGAGAGAAGCCAGCTGGCATTCCCTTTGCTCATTCTGTGTCCCACTCTGACTGCTCCCTGCAGGCGTCGGGGCAGAGTGCGGGGTCGGGGAGCAGGCGATGGAAATGGCTCCTTAAACACCTGAAAGCCAGAACGGCTTTAGGATACCTTGGAGAATCTATGTCTCTTTATAAGATCCTTATGCCTTGTTTGTGCGTGCTGTCCACCAACTAAGGCTCGGCACCAGTCATCACTTTGGAGCTTAGGCCTTTGGGGGTCTCCTGAGCAGGTACAAGCCCAGCACAGCTCCTAGGACTGCGGTCCTCCTTCCCTAAGCTGGGCCTCGTGCCTTCTGCCCTGCTTCTCCCCGCCCAGGTGGTGTTCCCCTACACGAGCAAGAGCTGCATGAGGGCGGTGCTGGAGTACCTCTACACGGGCATGTTCACCTCCAGCCCCGACCTGGACGACATGAAGCTTATCATCTTGGCCAACCGCCTCTGCCTGCCGCACTTGGTTGCCCTCACAGGTAACCAGCTGGGGAGCCCAGGGACTTCCTGGGGGAGTGATTATGTGTCAGTGGTCCCCCTCTCTCCTGGGAGCAGGCTGTGCCCCAAGGGAGAAAGCACTTCTAGAGTGAAATTGGCTGGTGTGTGTGTGATTTTGTGGGTGAGGATATAGATGAGGACTGTGTTTGAGGGGTGCACTGAGAGGCTCTCCACAGGTCATCTCGCCCAGCAAAGTGATCCCTGGCAGGTGACGGTACATCCACCCAGGCAGGCTCGCGATGTCCACAGAGACGAGAACACCATTCTGTGTTTCTAACCTGTGATTCTTCTCCTTGCCTGCTTCACCCTTCCCTTTCCTTTTCTGTTTTCTCTACCTTTGACTTGACCTTCCCTTCTTCCAGAAAGGACTGTGAGAGCTTCAGGCACTGGGATGCCCTCGGGGTGGGGAAAAAACTGGGCAGCAGGGCGACCCAGGCTGGTCCAAGGGTCTGAGGAAAAGAAATGGTGTCCTTCAGGTGAAAAGACTCAGGCTGGAGACCCAGGCAGCCAGACGGTCATGTTGATGTTGGAACTGGCAATTGTGTTGTTGTTGGTATTGCTACCAGTGCTGGTGTTGAGGTCAAGGTTAATATTTCTGGCCAAGCTGGAGTGGGGGGAGGCAGAGAGAAAATATGGAGTTGGGGTTCAGGTAAGGACCGAGTGTCAGAATTGCTAGGGCCCTGGGCAGAAGACCAAGACTGGGGTAAAGACATGAGGGAAAACAGCAATCTCATGATGATAAAGGAATTGTAAGGCAGAGCATGGTCACAGTAAGAAGGCAGAAATCATTGATCAGAACCAAAAAACTAAGAGATGAACTGCAGTGGGAGCCCAGGGTCGCCAGCTAGGGACAAAAAGGACTTTAGGGCAGGGAGTAAGAGAGGAATCTCAAGATTACAGCTCTTAACAGTTTTGCCTAAGAAAAATGGTGTAGTCACCCCAGAGATGGAGTGATTTTACTTTTAAAGAGAATATCGGAAAATGATCCCAAAGAAAAATAAAATATATGAAGATATTTCTCTAAATGTTTATTTCATCAGGCAGGCAGTTAGAACCTAGTCAAAGAAATACCCTTGGTTAAGCCCACATAGGTGGTTTTCACATGGTAGCCTCTCAGTAATACTGGAGTCTAGAGAGTGGCTCTGTGGTAGGGCGCTTGCCTAGCATGTGAGAGCCCCTTGAGCTCCGTCCCCAGTATTCCGAAAAATTCTTTCATTCATTCATTCAGTTTAAAAAGAAAAAGGAAATGATACTGTGTATATTTTCTCTGGAAATGGTACACTCACACTAGCAAGTGTATACAGAAATGCAGGAATGGACTTTGTAAAGGATCCTTGGGGAATGCTGGGTACTTCCTGTAACTCACGAACTTTTAAATTTTGTGAGATATTACTTCCCAGGAAGTTATTCATTCAGACCTAAAACTTGTTTGTTGTTAAGTATAAATACAAATCCAGAAAACTCCATGAAACATGCTCAGCTTAGTGAATTATTATGAAGCAAAATGTTTTTTTCAATCACAAGGCATGTCAGGAGCCAGAAGTTAACTGGCCACACCGGAAGTCTCCCCCACCCTTCCGTATATCAGAGCCCTCTCTTCCTCCCGGAAGGACCCACACTGCTCCGTCCTCTGTTGTTATTGCACTACCTATCAGCTCACTTTCTTACCCTCCCTTATTGCTTTATCATCCAACTGTGCAACCTTAAACACTCACAGAATGGTTTTGCTTTATATATACCTTTCAGGTTTCTTGTAATCTATGGATACCTTGTCCAATAAAAAAAGTTTTCTCCCTGAAATTTATTTGTTGAAACAAAAACCAAACACTCTTCCTGTAGTTTTCTATGATCTAGATTTTTGCCGATTGCATTTTTATAGTGTAGTTGAATATAGTAAGCTGGCAATTGGATCTAGAGGCTGGATCAGAAGCACAGTGTCTTTTGAGACAGCATCTTGCTATTTAGTCCAGACTGGCATTGGACTCACTGTGTAGCCTAGGCTGGCCTTCAACTTGGAGTAATCCCCCTGCCTCAGCCTACAGAGTGCTGGGATTGTAGGCATGTGTCACCGTGCCTTATTAATTTTTTATAAGACTGCTTCATAGGTTATTTCTTTCTTCATCAAGGGGCATAGATTGTCTGTTTTCCTCTCTTTTTGTTGTATTGATAGACATTGAGTGTCATTGTGTGGATCCATCAACTTATTAAGCTGTTACAAAATGGTAATATTCCAATTCAGAGCCACCCCTTCTTCATTAACTTGAACTCTATGCTTTGAGCACACTTGATGGGTTTCAATTAGGTACAGTTATCCTTTTGGAGGTTCAAACATTGTACCTTGAGGCAATAGGAGTCTCTGTGTTGGCTCCAGAGTCTTCAGGCTCCCTTCCTGCCTGACAGGATGAGATGGTCTAGGTTTCTCTTGTACACTTCATGCTTTAAAATGGGGGTGTCCAACCTTTTGGATTATCTGGGCCACACTGAGAAATTATCTTGTACCACATACAAAAGATAAGATGTGGTTAACGTATGTAAGTGACAAACTTCTCTTATTTTCTGTATTTTATTATAACCTTTAGAAAAGAATATAATCTCTCCATTTTACTCACCAAGTAGCATGAGCATGACTAACATCAGACACGCCAGGTTTCAATGCCACTGTGGCAGCTGCAGGAGGCAGGGGTAGTACCATGCCATGCCCTTCGCTACCTGGCCTTCTCTTGGTGCCCACACAACCCATGCCAGGGCAGCATGCCCTCCAGTTGTGAACATATCACAGGGCAGTGTTAACATCTATGATCTCATGGGGCTGCATTACTAGGTGTTCAGGGCCATGTGTGGCCCTCGAATTCCAAACACCGAGCACACCTTGGAATCGGCCATTTCTCTGAGAACTTCTGGCTTCTTGTGACTGGAAAGGGACACAGGCCTTCTGTGCACTAGAAATACTCATTGCTACTGGGCTGTTTATTGTTCCCGGGTCTTTCCTGTGGGCAGAGTTGAAAAATAGGTTTGTCTCTTTATTTTTTATTTTTTTTATTTTTTGGTACCAGGGATTAAATTCGGGTCCTTGCACTTGCAAGGCAGGCCACCGAACCGCTGAGCTAAATCCCCAGCTGGTTTGTCTCTTTAAAGATAAAACCCCTCATGAGATTCTAGTACTGACACTTCTAATTAAGAATTCATGACTAAGGGTGTTTTCTTTCTCAATATAAATTTTTTTTTAATATAAATGTTTTAAAGTAAAGTACAAGGTTTATGTGCATTTTGTCACAAAGTTTAAATGAACACAGCTGGGTTTAACTCCCAATTCTAACTCGCAGTTCTCGGCCTTTTGTTTTGTTTTGTTTTCAGTGAACACGAGGCTTCATGCCTCTCCCATCTTTGTCTGTGGCTGATTCTCTTGGGGACTTCTGACCCGATGTATACTAGGCTGTGGGGGGGACATACGTACTCGGAAAATCCTTCACATTTCACCCACGTCCCCACCTCATAAGGTCCTGCTTCCTCCCCTCTGCCTTCGTCCCATCCCCAACGCTGCGAGCACACCCAAGTCACCTGTGGCCTTTCTTGGCCTACTGGGTCTGCCCCCGCTGCCCCATCTCTCCACCCCACAGGGAGCCCCTCTGCGGGTGTGGGTAGCTCAGGTCCGTGTGGTTCTTCTGCTGATTGCTGGCTGTGTGTGTCACAGAGCAGTACACGGTGACTGGGCTGATGGAGGCAACCCAGATGATGGTGGACATCGACGGGGACGTCCTCGTGTTCCTAGAGCTGGCTCAGGTATCATGGAGAGAGAGGCTCTGGGGCGTTGTCACTGCAGGCTCTGTCTGCTGCCCACTGGCTGTGAGTCGGGGACTGGGCAGTGGTGGGCAGGAGGGGAGCCATCTCCCGGTGCAGAAAGTGAGTCCCTGAAGGCCAGTGTGTGGCACAGGGCACGGCTGGGGACACTGCTAGGAAGGCTGGCACCCTGCGCCTTGATGCCTGCATCTTCCTGCTGGAGAGCCTGAAGTCATGTGGGGGAAGACTAAAGAGGGCGGATGCCGTAGGTGGCCACCCTTAGGACCACCGATGTCATAAGTGTGACCCCCTGGGCGGTGCTGAAGCGAGGTGACGGCTTTGTGGCGGTGCCCAGGAGCCTGAGTCAAGCACGGTCCTGCACAGCCCTGGGCAGGCTCAGCTCTGGGGCTGCACTGTGTGACTGCAGGGCTCTGCCCACACCTCACCAGCACTGCAGCTCTGGGGACAACCACGTCTGCGCAGTGCCGCCCCACCTGGGGCTCTCGGGACAGATGCGCTTCTGTTCTGTCCCCAGTTCCACTGTGCGTACCAGTTGGCTGACTGGTGTCTCCACCATATCTGCACCAACTACAACAACGTGTGCCGCAAGTTCCCCCGAGACATGAAGGCCATGTCCCCAGGTGAGGATCTGGGTCTGGGGCCAGCCCGGCAGCACCTGCGGCTCCCACCTTGGGCTGAAGAGGCCTCTGTGGGGGGACTCAGCTGGGACTTCACCCAGGGAACAATGATTCTTGGGCCTCTCCTGGCCTTGGGGGGTAAGGGGCCCGGGGGTACCCCAGAGAAAGTGCTGTCTGTAGGGCTGGGGACCCTGGGCAGCTCACTCTACCTCTCTGGGCTCATTTCTCAGAGGGCAGTGATGAGAGCTGGTAGTTTTCAGACTCCTGGACAGGGCTCTGCAGTGAGAAATATGCTCAGTGCTGCGATCCAGCACACATACGGAAAGGCATATGTCCTTTAAAATGCTGCTCACGACCCGGTACGCTGGTTTCCCACAGCCGAGCCCGCTCAGGTCTGAGTACCCTCTGCAGGTCCTGAGTCCAACACAAGCTGCAGGGGCTGCAGGGAGAGGTGTCGCCAGCCTCCCCGAAGGGTCTGCCACTCTGTCCTCACAGGGCTCCGTGTCTGCTCTGATCACTTCCGGCTGCAGGTGGCTGCCGCACCGTCCCTGTTCTCCCAGCCCTGTGCGTTCCTCCTTTCCACGAGTTACAGCCCTTGCAGCGTGTTCCTCCGAAAGCCCAGGTCCGATGGTATCACGCCCTGGTCCACGCCTTCTTCCCTGTCTCGCACATGGGTCCTGCTGCGGCGCTGCCTCCCCATTCCTCAGCGCCCGGGCTCTGGCCAGCAGCAACCTCATTCTCATCCCGGAGCCTGGTGGAGCCCTTTCCCCATCTCCCTGCTTCTTGGTCTCAGCCTGTTTCATTCCCAGCACAGGGTCCCTTACTCTTTGTTTTGAAACAGTGTCTTGCTATGTAGCTGAGGGTGTTCTTGAACTCACGGTACATCCCAGGCTGGCTTTGAACTCACAGCGATCCTCCTGCCTCAGCCACTCAAGTGCTGGGGTTACAGGCGTGCGCCTCCATACTCCACTCAATTTACATTTTTTGAGTGACCATGGTTGCAAGTATGCATTCTGCAAAAAGTATACCTGGAGTTGGAAATAGGATCCGACCCTGACAGACTTCTCCAGGGAGGGTTTGAGTTGGCTCCATATAGAAACACCTGCAAAGCGTGGTTTCTGGGGCGGCCACAAAGGTCCGGTCCTCCGCGTGATGGCGCCAGGCAGCGGCAGCTACTGAGCCCCCACCGACACTGCCCGGTGCTGTGCTGCTAAGCGAAGGGTGCCTGGTGGGCCGGGTGGATCCAGTGCCTCGTCTCCGGGTGATGTCTCACAGGACGGGCTATTGGGGGGCATCACAGGCTGTGCTGTCTTCTCTGACACCCGGAAGGAAGCCCTGCTCCCTTCGTGTCCTGGACCTGGCTCTCAGGGTGCCGCGGGACCCGTGCTCTCCCATCCCCTCGCCCTCCTCCTAACCAGTCCCCGTGCCTTCCGCTTCAGAAAACCAGGAGTACTTCGAGAAGCACCGCTGGCCACCCGTGTGGTACCTGAAGGAGGAGGACCACTACCAGCGTGCGCGCAAGGAGCGCGAGAAGGAGGACTACCTGCACCTGAAGCGGCAGCCCAAGCGGCGCTGGCTCTTCTGGAACAGCCCCTCCTCCCCGTCCTCCTCGGCGGCCAACTCCGCGTCCCCGTCCTCCTCCTCCTCCTCGGCCGTGGTCTGAGATGCTGCCACCCTCCTCTGACCCTGCCGCTGCCGCCCCGTTTGTCCTGTCCCTGCGCTCTTCAGCATCGCCCTCCACCCAGCGAGGACGAGGGGACCCACCTGCCAGGACCCCAAGGGCAGAGCTGTTGTCACCAGCCAGCGCGGCTTAGGAGCTGCCCTTCCTCAGAACGGGGTCACCCATGGGGCTGGGAGGCGGAGGGGAAAGGGCTCTGGCATTTCCTCTCTGGCCTCGAGAACCCTCCAGTCGGAGGGAAACACCTTCCAGCAGGAGGCCCTGTCTGTGTGTCTGTCCCTGCTCAGGCCAGGGAGGCAGCGCCTCTCCCAGAGAGCAGCGAGGGTCCCACCTCAGCTGGCCGTGTCTTTCCATCTGTGGACCTGAGGTGGCAAATGTTTCGTGGGCATTTCTACATAGAGCACACTCAGCTCCTCACTGCAGAAGTCAGGGGAGAAATTAAGCTTTCAAAGCCGGACTCAAGATGTCTTCGTCCTGGGATGCAGCTGCAAGAGACCACACGTGTAAAGGTTCTTGTCCTGCCGGTGCCCCCTCAGGGCCATGGGCAAAGCAGGCCTGCTGGCAGGTGGCTAAGGTGGTCGAGTTCCAGGCCCTGAGGCAGGACCTCCTGGTGCAATGAGAAACTTCTCTTCCCCCTCCTGTCTGCCTCCCATTTGGAGATGGAGCCGAAGGAAGCAGCTGCAATAGGGAAGGAAGAAAGGGTGGAGCTTGTGCAAAGCAATCCCTGGCTCCTCTGGGGCCCTGTCCCTGTCCCTGAGTAGCACTGCTTTTTATGGGGTGGGGCAGAATTAGCCAAAAAGAGCCCCAACAGCAAAGGAATGAAAACCAAACTCAAAAGAAGATCACCACCAACAGAAACACTATCTCCCCAAAGAATGAAGATCAGAAAAAGACCCTGTAGAGATCACACTTTTCTAATCCCAAACCTAAGCCCTCAGGGTAAGGGGACAGGGTTCGGTCACACCATAACCCTGACCCCTGTAGGAAAGGACCTGTCTCCTTCTGAGGATGCCCTGGCTCCAGGCCTCCAGCTCACCGGGGCAAGCTGTGGGGTTAGAGGGGAGGGCTGTGACCTAAGGGCTCGAGCAGCACTGGACTCTCCTCTGCCCAGTTTGAAGGTGCCGGCTGTGACGGTGACCTAGCAGGACGTTCACACGGATGCAGTGGGTGGGGAGCAGGGGGCAGATGTCAGGGGAAAGGACAGCAGAACAGGAGTCTCCTGTAATGAAGGATCAAGGACAGGACCTCATCTGGTCCTGGTTTAGGATATAGGGAAGGGGAAAAGAAGAGATTGAACAGGACAAGTCCAGAGAGGGTGAGCCTGGAGGATTCAAACAATGGCTTTGCCCATGGAGCAAAAGCTGGGCCTCAGCTGACCTTTTCCCCATTTCCTAATCCTGATCCATACTTCACCACCCTTCCCCCTTCTTACACCTCTAGGATGGGCTCCTGCTGAAGAGGGCACAGTCAGGAGGCAGTGGGCATGGTCTCAGAGCCCTGACAAAATGCTTTAGGGAGAGGGACAGCTAGGTACCAGGGATGGCCTGGTTAGGTCTAGGATGGGCCACCCAGATGCAAGGTGACTCTGCAATGAATGTGTGGTGTCAGCACTTGGAGCTGTGAGGTTGTGCTGGAGGTCAAACAGGGCTAGATTTGGGGTGAACCCATTTTCTGGGCTGGGAGCTTTCAAGTCCTCCAGGTTGGCTGGCTGGGAAACCAGTCCCATGCTGTCCTCTGCTGGCTGGTTAGACTTCCTGCAGCTGGGCTCTGCCCTTGGCTTCCAAGGCAAGGCTGAGCCACCGCCTTTGAGAAGGGAGTATCCAGGAGACCAGGGCAACTCCTTCCCTCCAGGAAGGGGACAGAGTTGAAGGCACACATGGACTTCCCAGGAACTGTGGGTCTGAGAGAGCAAGGGTAATTGGTCTCCCAGGAGCCTGCAGGGCTCAGTACCTGGGGCTACTGAGGATGGACAGGCTGGAGGGGACAGAAGGGAGCCCACAGAACAGTGCCACAGGATCCCTGCACCCCAGGCCCACACACTCCTCAGGGACCCACCGCCCTTCCCCACAGCTCTGGCAGAGCCAGTCTGCACCCCAGAGAAACCACCCCACGAGGCTGTGGGGGAGCCAGGCTGGAGAGGGACAGGGAGGAGGTGTGAGTTCCAGTCCCCTTGGGACTGGTGCTTTGGATGCCAGAGGCAGAAGCAGAAAGAATGCCATGTAGGACAAGCCCCGGGCATAAGGCGGAGGAGGGCAAGGGGTGGATCACACAGCAAGAACACACTCCCCGGACTCCTCACACTCCGAGCTGTTTCTGAGGCTGGGAGGACGGGGCCAAAAAACAGAAACCCACACCTCTTTTTATATAAATTTCATATTTAATTTGGTCATAAATTCATAATACATACGTATTTTGTACCTAACTATTTTGTGTTATTTAATATCGCCAATGTATTCTGATAGAAGCACAGGAGACAGACACACACAGCATCTGTCCGCTCCTGATGGCACGCCGGTCACAAGGGAAGAACTATGTCCATGCTCTCAGGATGCTTCATTGGAAGGATACGCCCATCCCACCCTGACGATGGGCTGGGGATTTGTCTTAGTAGCACCTCGCTTGCCTCTCAAGGGAAAGGTCCTGAGTTCAACCCCCAATACCAGCATAAACACTGACAAGATGGGATGAGAGGTTAAAAGGGGATGAGAGCCTAAGGTTAGCTCCCCTGAGATGAGACCAGCATCTCAAGGAGTAGCAGAGGGCCTGCCGGCAGGGATGCCCAACCACTACCAGGAACGTGGGGGAGAGACAGACATGCTCCGTGGGCAGTTCATCCTGAGTGTGTCAGTAGCTGTGGTCGAGTCAGCCAGCTGTGGATCAAAACACATAAATGCCTGGAGGTGGGAAAGGAAATAGACTACAGACCCTGGCACCTGCCACCTCCATGAAATTGTCCTGCCGTGACTGGGATGCTGTGGAGAAAGTTTCCAGCTGAATAATGAGGACTTGAAAATAAAAACAGAGCTGGGCATGGTGAGGGCACACCTGTATTCCTAACGCTTGGGGGTCTAAGGCAGAAAGATCACGGTGAGCTCAAGTTCAGCCTGGGCAACACAGTGAGTCCATCTCAGTAACAGCGACAAAAATAAGGGTAGCACGCATCTGTAACCCCAGCTTTCTGGGGGTGATGAAGCAGAAGGATCGCAAGTTTGAGCCCAGCCTGGACAACATAGAAAGCTTAGTGAGACACTGCCTCAATATATAAAATTTTTAAACAGGATGGGGATGTAGCTCAGTGCAAAGGCCCTGGTTGCAGTTCCTAATAATAACAATAATAAGAATAAATAAGAACTGAACAGAAAGCCATACAACATAATGTTCAGCCATCCTGGCTCATCGTCACAGCACTTAGGAATGAATTGCAAGGTAGTGAGATGCTTACAGAGGGCGATGGTCCTTGAAGAGGGACTCCGAACCCCTCAATACAGCTCTGGGAGCTTAGATTTACCAGAAGTGAGAGGTACCATCTGGTCCTAAGCAGGCAAATGTGTCACATTCACAGACACCTGGGACCACGGCAGGTGTCAGAGACAGACATGAGTACAATGGCAACCTGAGCAGGAAAGGGGAGAGTTCTTCTTCCTCTCTAGGATTTCTCATTCTATGAATGTGTCCAGTTCAATAATAAATATAAACAATTCAAGAATTGTATTAACAAATGTGTTGGAATAGTTTTAAAAAAACACATAAATGTTCTATTGTATATATACAAATATATTATATACAAGATATACAATCCTAAAAAAGTTCCTTCACGCCAATGACTCCATCTTCTTGATAGATGAAATTCCCAGAGTTTACTGCGTATTCCACCATCTTTTCCTTAGCTAGCTTTTGTCCTAGTTTGTCCAAGGCACCCAGCAGTGTGTTGAGGGATGCGTTGCGTCCTGTTTTGTTGAGCCACTTCTGGAGCATTTCGTACAGCGGATCGTGTGGTCTGCTGACACGGGCGAGGAAGATCTCGTTGGGCGTGAGGCCCAGCTCCTGCATGAAACGGTCCCAGGAGTTATGGTCCACGACCTCCGCACAGTAAGTGAAAAGCCTCCTCAGTGCTAGAAGGGAGAAACACAGGACGGTTGAGCTCAGAGCACTTCACAAAGGGCAGGAGACCCTAAATCAGATCTAAAACCCAAGTGTGGAAACTAATAAGCTCCCTAGGTCCAAAAAACTGCTGCTTCAACCTCCCGGCTGCTTCACAGCGCCTAGGCCTCACCTGCCCTCAGGACGCGGGGAGGGCAGAGTGCACAGGGTCTGCCCTGGGGGAGGCTGATGACTGGGGGACGCACCGACTCATGAGCAGGAAAGCAGCGTGGGGTGTGGGCAGAGAGAGGCACGGCAACGGGCTCAAGGGGATCTCAGGGGGCTGTGTTCCCCATGAATGGGGGGCAGGGCGTGTCTATGCCAAGTGCAGGACCTCGAGGTGAAGATCTGTGGCTGCTACCCAGCCCGGCCTCTCTCACCGCCACTGGGGCAGAGCGGATGGAAGCTGAGTGACAAGCGAGCTTGTAGGAGCCGCCACTGCACTCGGCTCGGGAGGCCACGGTGGAGCAAAGGCGCTGTGAGAATGCACGGCACACTGGGTCCTGAGCAGCAGAAGGGGATGGAACAAGAGCTGATATGCTTTGTTCTCTCCCCTCCCTTTCTCCTCTCCGTTTTTTAAAAACTCAAAATCCTCCTGTCTCAGCCTCCTAAATTATAGGATTTCAAGTGTGCACACAACTCACTCAATGAGCTGATGTCTTCTAAGAGCCTCATTCTATATAAGAGGAAACAAGTGATATTCATTTTGATAAGATTTTACTTAACTCAATATTATGCAATTGTATCATTCCATCATGTAATCAATATTCAAAAAAATCATCCATGAGATAGTTTCCATTGTTTGTTTGCATTGTCTTTGAAATCTGGTTTGTGGTTAATACTGCAGCTCACGAAACCTGGTCACAGGTCAGGGGCTCGCAGCCTCCTGGACACAGTGGGTGACGATGGTGTGGCCCCTGTGAGGCTCTGGAGGAGGCTGCATTACAAAGGGACTGGGAGAAAGTGGGCGAGGGGAGGGCGGAGGGGTGGAGATAGTGCGAGGGGGCAAAAGAGGGCAGAAGGGACTTGTGATTCTCAGAGCCCAGTGAGAGCTCCGGGTGGCCTGCATCCGGCAGGAACCACCGTGGGGAGGCGGAGCTCCCTCTGCTCTGGGGACAGCAGTGAGGGTGCTGCTCCCATTCCCCAGACACACAGAACACTGACCCTCGCTGGGGTCCACACCACTCGCTGGGACCAGCGGCTTCCTTCTCACCGGAGACCTCTCTGCTTCTGCAGGTCCCTGCGACAAACAGTAAAGATGTCCTGGTCAGAGTCAGGGCACCGGGGTTCCAGGACTGATCCTGACAACCACCAGCTCTGAGACCAGGGGTCCTCACTTTTCCTCTGGGGTCTCCATGGAGATGCAGATAAACCTCCTGGGACGGGCTCACAGAGCCTTAAACCCGCTCCTGCGTACTCACATCAGTCAGATGGAGTATTCCCACTCCCTCCAGCAGGGGGCAGTCACCTCACAGGCTTTTTTTTTTTTTTTTCCCCTGGCATCGCTAGGAATGGAACCTAGGGCTTCTCACCTGCTTGGCAAGGGGTCTACCACTGACCTAAAGCACTAGCTTTTCCTGACACTCAGCAGAAGACTGTATAAGAGGACACTCTGAAAAACCCAAAGTGAAGGTTTGTTTCAAGAAGGTGAAGTGTTTTAATCAACCATGTCTCATGTCAATAGTCTATAAATAAGGAAACGAAAGCAGCGACAGTCACTGCAGAGGTCAGGAAGATCCAACATCAACTTAGATTTTAAAAAACAGCCTTGAATATCAAGATATAGCTATTAGGAAGAGGATGCCTATATGGGAAAAAGCCATCAGTCACAACGGCGAAAAGATCCAAGCCAGACCAAAATCCCTGCTTTCTGCAAGCATTGTTTGCATTGCTTGTTTGTTTATTTTGTGCAGTGCCAGGATGAAGACAGGGCCTCCTGCATAGCATAGCTCATACCATGAGCACCCCGTGGCCTCTAAGCATTGCCCAACATTGTTCTGAGGATTCTGTGCAGCAGGAGGAATAGCAGAAACAGGGAGTAGATTCTTAGAACAGAGCAGGAAAAGGAGGCATTATTTTAGCTATGTTTATCCACTTTAAAAACCCTAAAGTTTAAGCAATAAGGAAAGGTGAATAAAACTCTGGGTGAATGTTTAAAAATGCAGTAGCAACAATCAACTAGAAAATGTACTTAAAAGAGAATCACATTGATAGAGGCTATAAAATACATAGGTGCAAAGGTAACAGCAGCCAAGAAATAAGAATCAGTAATCTGTGGAAAAGTCAATTTAGTTGTAATAAAATACTTGTCTTAAAAATTGCAATTAGTGTTCTGGACATGAAGAAAGTAATAAATGCATTCTAGATTTTATCTAGGTGAAAGTATAAGTTTTAAAAAACTACAGTAGTGGCATTGCTCTATTATTAAACCGTGTTAGAGAGTTTCATTGTATAGAAAATGATTATGTATAAAGCTGGGTGTGGTGGTGCATGCCTGTAATCCCAGCACTGGGGAGGCTGAGGCAGGAGGATCGCTGTGAGTTCGAGACCAGCCTGGGCTACACAGTGAGTTCCACAGCAGTCTGAAGTACATAGTGAGACCCTGTCTCAAAAAAACCAAAAACAAACAAACAAAAAAGAAAATTATTGGGCTGGGGATTTAGCTCAGCAGTTCGGTGGCCTGCCTTGCAAGCGCAAGGACCCGAGTTCAATCCCCGATACCAAAAAAAAAAAAAAAAGAAAAGAAAGAAAGAAAATTATTATGTATAATGGAATGTCTTTTATGAAAATACAATTTATAAATATGTAGATATACTTATGCATTAAGTCAGAGAAAGGACAATCTAGCTCAGTAGTAGGGTGCTTGCCTCGTATGCATGAGGCCCTGGGTTCAATGCCTAGCAGTGTCAAAAAGAAAAAGAGAGAAAGAAAGAAAAGTAAGATTTAGAGAAAGAATCACAAGAAAAAAAATGCCCTGTCGTAGTTATCTTGGGGCTGATGAGCAGGGAAGGATGCTCTTTTATTTATTTGAGCCCCTTTCTACACTGTTCAAATTTCTCGCTTTGGGCCCAGGGATTTAGCTCAGTGGTGCCGCCACCTGCCTTGCAAGCGCAAGGTCCTGAGTTCAATCCCCCATGCCAAACAAAAATAAAAACAGAAATAAGTAAATAAATTTCTCACTTTCAATATGTGCTCATCTCTTTCTAAAAATCTCAAATCACTTCATCAAACTGGAGGGATTACTGGCACATTTAATGTTTCCTTTCTGTTTTCACTTCCTCTTTGTGAAATAAAGACTGGGTGAACCCTCGACCTATGATTAAAAAGGGACCAAAAGCAGAAGGAAATGAGTAAATGCAATTAGGAAAACCAGACTTGGAACAATCCAGGGAGCCCCTTGCTTCGTATCACATTGCAAAATAAACTTCCCTCAGATTATATAGATATATGCAAAAAGGAATCCTTGAAAGAAAACTAGAGGAATTCATTTCATGTTGGGGGAAGGCCTTTCCGAAGCCAATGAGTAAAGAAAATCAAATGTTTATACTGATTTCACTAACAATGAAAATTTCCCTAACAAGTGAAAGTCACGAAGTTCGGAGTCTGTTTCTGGCACAGGAGAAAATGCATGGGCAGGAGAACGTGTCTTCTCACACAGGCCGCAGTGACCTGACACACCGATCATACTGGCAAAACAGCCCAAACCAAACAATGCACCTTTGAGACAGTGTTTTCCTAAATAGCAAACAACGAAAAGTGTTCAACATCAGATCAAAATGCAGGAACTGATGTGAACCAACCAACACGAGCGTGCATGGGTGTGTGTGTACAGGTGTGCACAGTGAATGCCGCTTCTACACGTTGACTTGGAAATTCTGCTTCTTGCAAACACAATCAAACAACTGGACAAAAACTTATTTCCAAACATGTTAACGTAATAATAATCTTGGGGTGGATTTCAATTGCCTGATCTTAGGAAGAAGGACTCATGAAGTCCTAGGACAAAGCTGAGCCCTCATTCAATCAGCAGCAAACACCTCTGCACCCACTCTGTGCCTGTACCTGCTCCAGGAGGGGGAGGGGAACAGCACCAACGTGACAGAGACTCAGAAGTGAAAGTACACAGAGTGGCTCTGTCACCACGTGGAGTTGCATGCAGCCCTGTCCTGGTCAGTCCTTGCCTCTCTGTCCCCACTTCCCCTGTGCTGGGAGATCTGATGACTCATCCCTCTGCCTACAGCCCAGCACCACCGCCTCTCCTCTACTCACCAGCAGACGCTCTGTCTCCCCTGCGCGCTGTTCAGGGACACCTTTTCTTGTCACAATCTGTTCTTGTTGCTCTATCTCATGCTCATCATGCTGAAGGAAAGAGCAGCTGAGGGCCTCATTCTGGTCATTGTCCTGAGCTTCAGACCCTCTTGAGGGTTTTGAGGGGCTGATGAGGTCCTTTGCCTTGGGAAGGCAAAGAGGCCACTCAGCAGTCCATGTCCAGCTCTCCCCAGAGGGTCCCCACCGCTTCCCACTGTGTTTACCGCAGGCTGGCACGGTGATCCCAGTGTCATGCCCAGGTGGGGTCACCACCCCGCCTGGACTCTCCCCCAGGGACAAGGCAGTGGCGTGAGGGTGACTCCCAGCCAGCGGGAAGGACAGGGTCGCACTGGCCTGTGGGGAGCTCAAAATGGCCATTTGCCCCTGACAGTTGCTCCAGGACCCCAGGCTGCTTTGGAGAGAGCCGGGATAGCAGCACAGGACAAACAGGGACGTGTCCTCTCCAGGTTATGTCTCAGCCAGAAGTAGTTTCTAAGCCCCCATCCCTCAGGAACAGGAAGAGCCAACTCACTGTGTCTCCAAGCTCGGAGTCCTGTTCACAGCCTGGAAGAGAAGAGGGTCTCCTTGGTGAGGAGGCAGGGGATTTATGCAACTCATCCCTGGGGGTCCTGGACTTCACACACTGGACAAGAGCCTGGGTGCTGGGACACCCTGGGGAGGGAGAAGAAAGGGGACAAACATAAGCAGGTGCCCAATCCTTGAATGGCCCTGCTCTGACCAACATTGTCGAAGTCAGCCTGGGGGTGTAAGCCTGTAAACCCAGCACTTGGGAAGTTGAAGCGGAAGGATCACCGTGAGTTTGACGCCATCCTGAGATGCATACTGAGTTCAAGGTGAGCCTGAATTACAAAGTGAGCACCTGTCTCATAAAATACACACATACACACAAGCTGTTTTAATGTCCTCATCACTTCTCACTCTGACCCTTGTCCCCACTCCAAATGCTCTTGCCTCTCAGGACTGGCTGAGCCCTGCCCTCCTAAATTTGGCTGAGAGATGAGGTCACCATCAGCCTCAAGAGACTGGTTAGCTGGGTGTGGTGGTGCATGCTTGCAATTCCACCACTCGGGAGGATGAGGCAGGAAGATCACCTTGAGTTCAAGGGCAGTGTGGGCTAAACAGTGAATTAGTTCAAGGCCAGCCTGAGCTACACAGTGACTTACAGATACCCTGCCTCAAAAATCAAAAACAAAAAACAGAGAGAGAGAGAGAGAGAGAGAGAGAGAGAGAGAGAGACTGGTAAGATCCTGGTGTTTGAGAGGTGCCAGGGAGGCAGAAGATGGCAAGATACCTACAGGAAAATAAGAGAGGGCCAGGGCAGGAGGACACAGGAGAGGGGGCACTGCTGTGTGGGAACAGAGCCGGATGGGGAGGGGCTGCCACTTACTTGAAAAGATGCTGCTCTGGCCACAAAGTCTCCACCACCCAGCCTTCCAAACCAACACAGCCACAGCCACAGCCACAGCCAACAGGGAGACTACAGCTATGCCGCAGATCACTGGAAATGCTATGGAAGGACAAGGAGAGGCTGGAGTCCCCGGACTGCCGGTCACTGGCTCTCCAGGAGCTGGGGCTTCCGCAGTGGTCTTGGTACCTGATTCTTTGTCGACACACTTGAGGTCACTCCGGGGGGCACAGGGACTCACCATCACCTTCCCGTTAGGGCACCTGGGTGCACACAGGGAAGAAACGATGGCTTCCCTGAAGGAAGGCAGGCCACGGTGCGCCAAGAGGGAGCCACCCTTCCTGCTCAAGGTCCAGAGAAGGTGCCAGCAGGGGGACAGGCTCCTCATGCCTCCAGGTGTCCCCCAAAGTCACCCTACGCCTGGGGAAGGCCCTCCCCGCTCTGTGAGCCTCCTCTCCGGGCATATGTGGCATCCCTGGGCCGTAGGAGGTGGTCAGGAGCCTCTGTGACCACTGCCAACCTTCAGCACAACTAACCTCTCATCCTCCCTGTCTGGCCTTCCTCTCAATCACAGCAAATGCCAGGGGGTTGAAGAAGATTTAACTACTGGCCTGGCCCCTAAACCCTCAAGTAGTAGCTCACGTCCTTCAAGGACTTTCTCCTCATATTTCTTATTAGTGCGTATTGGCTATACAGATTCATGAGTTTCATTTTGGCAGATCTGAACATGTACCTAACCGACTTTAATTGTCCCATCCCCTCCCTCACTTTCCCCTCTAGTTGGACATGTATTCGGGGGGGTCAGTCAATGGGTACAATGTATTTTGATCATATTCATGTCACCTTTTATATACCTTGTATATAGCTGGACTAAGTGATAATTCTATTCTTAGTTTTTTTTAAGAACCTCCATACAGATTCCCATAATGGCTGTACTAATTTACATCTCTGCACCTTTACCTTTGGCATTTATTTTATTATTGTTGTTGTTAATGTTTTTGTATTCTTGATGCTAGCCATTCTGATGGGGCAAGACTGGTCTAGGTGTCTATTTTTGTGTCACTACACCAGATATTGTGATACCTCCAGTTAGGCTCTTATTGTTTAGGATTGCTTTAGCTACTCTAGGTCTTCCTGTTTCCTTGTGAATTTTAGGGTGTTTTTGTTCTGTTTCTCCACTGGTATTTTGATGGAGGCTGCACTGACTCTGTAGATCACTTTGGGCTGGCAGTTCAACAGCGTTAATGCTGCCAACCCGTGAGTACGGGAGGTCTTTCCATCTACATTTTACTATTGACATGGCATGTAAATGAATGTAATTCTGGCTACATTCTAATTCTTCTGTTTTCATAGGGAACTAAATCACGCCCTGGGGTCCTCACTGAACAAGCTCCCTGGCAAAGGGGAATAATGGAACAGGCTGGGTGGAAAGAGGCCCTCGCAGATAGACCAGGAAGGGCAGGCTCAGGAGACCCCAGTGGTACAGGGATGCCCGGTGGCAGTGGCAGATCTGTGGGGTCAGTGAAGGCGGGGGTACAAGGAAATCTGTGTCTTCCCTGGGTTCCTTTGGGCCACTGGGAGCCGCAGTTTCTGCATCTCACCTGGTCTGGCATTTCTGACAGAATTCTGGGGATCCCTCTGCCCGGAAGGTGCCGTTCTTGCAGTAGCACACCGTGTTTGTGGTCTTGTTGCAGGGATGTTCCTGCCTTTCTTCTGGAGACAAAGGAAAAGTTTTGGAGGATGAGTTTCTTTGGTGACCCCAATGTCTTTCCTCCCATTCAGCTCCTCTGAGTTTAGGAAGTAATTGTGAGGGCCAGTTTCTGCAGCCACACACAAGGGCACAGAAAGGAGGGCCCCCCCTCAGCTGTCACAGAGCTCTGCAAAGCCTGCCTCTGTGGGAGCGGAGGCAGGGCACTGGGGACATGGAGGCTGAGAGCACCGCACCTGCCAGGAGCCGAAGCCTGGCGGAGGACCGGTGAAACACAGCCTTCTCCCGCACAGCCCTGCCTTTTGATTACGCAACAGACCTCACAGCTTTAGTGAGGAGATGAATGTGGGCTGGGCCATTTGTAGGAGGCTCCTCAAGGAGAGGCCTAAAGCCAGGGAGGGTCTGACCTATGGAGAGATAAAGCAGCCTGTGCTGGGTCAGAATCAGCCACAGTGTGTCCCCAAGCTAAGGCGATGACTTCCACTCCTCCGTCCCTCTTCCATCAAAAGATCTCAGTCAAATGCCAAGCAGACCACAGCAGGCCATTATCAGAGAGCTGCTGGTGAATGGCCAGTCCTTAGCAGCCATGCAGGAGCCGGGTGTCAGACCCAAGGCCGAATCAGGCGCGACTGGCTCTCGCAGCAGTCTTTACTCTGTCGTGGAGCGCCTGCTGCACTGCCCTGTTCTTCCCTCTGCCACCTGAATCCTTGCGTCCATCCTTCAAGGTGCAGTACAATATACCCTGGTCTAGGGAGCCCTGCTCCTCCCTGCAACCCAGGCTCCCTGCTGAGGTCACCTTGGGCCTATGGCAGCCTCCAGGGCCTGTCCTTACTTAACAGGCTCCAGTGACTCACTCCACAAGCCAAAAGGTCCAGGGAATGAACCTGAGAGCAGTGGACTGGCCCAACTGAAAGGGGCAGATCCATCTCCCCGCTCCTCCCGAGGGATGGGTTAAATGACTTCCCTAAAAAGTGGTCTGTATTAATGTTTGTAAATTTTATTTTATTGACTCAAAGAATCAGGAACAGGGTGTTAGGATGAAGACAACCTGGGCTGGAATGGAGAATTCTGAGTCCACATCAGCTACATTCCCACCTCATTCCCTCCCACACCCGTCTCGGGCCCCCTCCCTGGATACCTTGGGCACAGACCCTGCAGGGGATGCAGGCCGGGAGTTCATTGGGGTGGCTGGTGTAGTCCACCCCTTCCTCACATTCTTCACATTGTCTACTTTTTTCTGACAAGTAGGAACCTGAGGAGGGAGAGAAAGCTGGTGAGCAAATCTTCGCAGATTCCCAGAGCTGGCCGTGGTGCTCGGCGGGAGGGACCCCATGTTTTGGCCATCTGTGGAATACAAACACTTGGACAGGCCTTGGTCAGGCCCCTGGTTCACTTCTGCTAAACCCCTTATCCCACCCCTGCCACGGAAGGACACCAGGCCTGCCTGAAACTCAAAAATGCATAGTACCCAGGGTAAAGAGAAGAGGGCCACATTAAAATTGTGTTGTTTTGAGACAGGGTCTCACTGTGTATTCATTCCAGGGCCACCTGACGGCTGGGACCACAGGTGTGCACCGCTACATCCAGCTTCAAGTCAGATTAACTTTAACAATGTACTCCTGGAGCTAAAATAGCCAGAGTACCATCCTGTGAACATGTAATCAATTTAAAACATATATATACTAGGAATTAAACCCAGGGACTTAGCGCTGGACCCCAGCCCTTAAAATTTTTATTTTATTTATTTGGTACCGGGGATTGAACTCAGGACCTTGCACTTGTGAAGCAGTTGGCAGCACCACTGAGCTAAATCTCTGGCCCTAAAATTTTTATTTTTAATTAATTAATTTTTAATCTTTAGTTCATTTTAATTGTTCATTAATTTCTGGGAGGAATGGCATAACATTTATTTAAAAATGTTTTTGTGGACTGGGGCTGCAGCTCAGTGGTGCCTGCCTCATAAGTGCAAGGTCCCAAGTGTGATCCCCAGTATCGGAAAAAAAAAAAAAGTCTGTGTCACTAAGGGTTGAATCTAGGGGTCTTCAGACTGAGCTACATTCCCAGCCCATTTCATTTTGTTTTACTTTATAATTTGAGACAGGGTCTGGCTAAGTTGCTAAGCTGCCTGCACCGCCAATGCCCGGGCTTACTTTTATTAGTTTATTTACACTACATCTTTGACATCCAGAATGTATTTTCATTCCCGACATACCGAGAACCTAGTGTCTCATTTACGGCTCTGGAAAAAGAAGTGTAAACTAAAGGTGAAACAAGCAAGAAGGAAACAATATACAGATTAGAGCAGATACCAACAAAACGGAGGAAAAAAACTGAGAAAATTTAGGAAACCAAAAACTCGTTCTTTGAACAGATCAACAAATTGACAACAGCTGTTTGACATGTGGGGGTGGCGCCTCAAATTCTAAGAATCCGAAAATAGGAGAAAAAGCACTAGTGCTGACTGCACAGGAAAGACGGAACCTGTACCTAGCCAAAATTCGGTAACTTCAATAAACCTGGGCAAATTCCTAGAAAGACACAACTACTAAAAGCAACTCCAGGTGAAACGCAGTCTGGGAGCCCTTCCCCTCAGGCTGAGGGTGGCTGGTCCCGGAGGACATTGCAGTGGCAGGCAGCATGGCAGCCCCAGAGGGTCCAGGTGGTGCTGAAGTGAGGTGCAGGATCCATGAGTCACCAGTAGGTGGGGAAGCTGCGGTCACAGCGAGCAGAGCGACCACCAAAACTCCCCTGCCACACCCATCCAGACGGGGAAGGCCGAGGCAGTGATGGAGGAAGAGGCTTGCACAATTTCTTCAGCAAGAGAGACACAAAGAGGAAGGAGAGGTGCAGTGAGAGGGGTGTGGGGCTGTCACCAAGCCCATGACTAAGCCTCTTCGATGTTAAGCAATTTTTGATGTTTGCTACATGTGTAAACTAGAATCAGCAGCACTCATTCCTGGTTACTGTGCAAAAAAGCCTGCAGCAAGAAAAAAGAAAAAGCTTGCAGTGTGCAGCATTCTTTCATAATTACTTTGCAAACACACAAAATCAAACCCCACTGGGTGTGGTGGTGCACGTTAGTAATCCCAGCACTCTGAAAGGCTGAGGCAGGAGGAATGTAAATTCAAGCCCAGCCCGAGAAACCTAGCGAGACCTTGTCTCAAAATAAGAAATGAAAGGGCCGGAGATTCCACTCCGTGGTTCCACTGCCTGCCTCAGAAGCACAAGAACCTGAGTTCGAGCCCCGGTACCAAAAAAAAAAAGGAAATAAAAATAAGAAATGAAAATGAGCTAGGCATGTAGCTCAGTGCAAAGGTGCTGGGTTCAATCCTTAGTACTGCAAAAGAAAAAAAGAAAAAAAACCCTACCGCCAGGGTCATGTCTAGATCATTTCATGTTCAGGCATTGGGCCTTCATAAGGGTTGGACACCTCAGATTTGCTGCATTTACTGTAGGCCTCATGTGGCTCACAATGTGGCTCAGAAGGTTCAAGGACTAGTCTGAACTCTCCTAGTGGAAATCCAGCAGGAAGTCAGCCATCTGGACTGCAATCTGCGGCACAAAGTGAAGATTTGTGCCCTCTTATTTAACCTGTCCCATGCCCCAGCCTGAAGCATGCTCCATTCAGGAAGTCGTGGCTGTATTAGACTCCCTGATATCTAAAGAGCTGTGTGGTTAGATCCTCTGTGATTCATAACTTAATTTTGGTTGTAGTCTGATGTAACCACAAATTACATTCAACCATCCTTGGACCCGGCACGGGAGAATGGGAGCAGGAGGGAGCACTCGTTTCCTTTAGTCATTTTTTTATTAGTCATTTTTAAATTTGAATAATGCTTTTTGTTCCTCATTAAGAGCTGTTTTGCTTTGCTATAGAATATCATTAAATAAGTAACCTGATCTATGCACTAGAATTGGGAAATGTTTGCCAGTCACTGGGATGGAACCAAAGAGCCTTTCTTTGATGTGCAGGGCATGGATGCCACAGGCTCTCTAAGTGCTGGAGAGCTTTGACTAATCAGGTCCAAACTGTACTGGAAACTGCTAGTGCAAGAGGTTGGCTTCTGCTCAGGCTAGAGGAATCCCTGACCTGTCCTTACAGACTGAAAGTGATGTGAGCAGGTTCCCACCCAACACCCATTCAAGCTTCATGGGTCTTACATGATGTTTGATAAGAATTCCTTACACACTGATGCCCAAATTTCAAGGCACTGAACATTCTAAAGATGCAGTGATTGTCCCAGCTAGCTCTGCAACTGTATTAGTCAGCTTTCTCACTGCTGGGACAAAATACGCAACACTTCCAATTTAAAGGTGGCCAGGTTTATTCTGGCTCATGGTTTAAACCCGTGGTTGGCTGGCTGTCAGGCAGGTACAAAAAAAATACAAAAACCCAACCTAGAATAAATAAGGACACTGACTCAGCAAAAATTAAGCTTAAAGAAAAGTCCACATCCATGTGATTTCACCTCTGAATTCTATAAAACCTCTCAAGAAAAATTAATACTAATGATTCCCAAACTTTTCCAAGAAATAGTACTGGAGAGAATATGTCTCAGCTCAGTTTAGAGGACAGTATTAGCTCCCTAATACCAAAACCAGTAAAGGACAACATAAGAAAAGAAAGCTGTATACCAATGATTTATAGGATATGGATGGATGCAATAATCTCCAAGAAAATTCTAATAAATTAACTTGAGGCTTACAAAGCAATTATATACCATGTCCAAATGAGTTTTATGCTATGCAGGTAAGTTCAGATTCCCAAACATAATGTAGCAAATCATATCAACAGAATTAAAAGTCATATATTCTCTCCAAAGACACAGGGAAAGCTTTTACTTCCAATCTCACAAATCCAATATCCTTTCATGACAAAAGTCACTGAACAGAGCCAGGGATTTAGCTCAGTGGTGCTGCCGCCTGCCTTGCAAGCTCAAGGACCCGAGTTCGATTCCTGGTACCCCCGCCCAAAAAATCACTGAACAAAGTAAGAATAGAAAGAGCTTGGCTAATGTGCCTCAGCCGGATGGGCGCAATCATTCCCCGGTTAGCTGCCCCAGGAGCTCTGTGGGCGTGGCGTCGCCCACTTTCACACTCCTAGCACTGTCTGGTCTGGTCCTCTACTTCCCCTCTCACCTGGAGAGAGCTCTCTCCTCCAGGGCCACAGTGAGGAGCTGGATGTAACGCTGGTGGCCAGCATCCTTAGTCTAAGCTCATTTGAACAGTCAAAGACCTTGCTTGATGCCCGTTTGCTGTGAGTTCCTTGCTCAGTACCACAAGCATGAGGGAGCAGTCCCAACCAGCAGGCGACCCACTCTTATCCTAGCAGGTGCTAGAGGGCAGAGATACCGGCGCCTCCCCATCCTGTAGGCGCCCTGGTTCCCAACATCAGCACTCAGCCTTAGCACGCCAGGGTCTATCTTTCCTGTCCCTGCTTCTCCCCAGCTCAGGAGGCCGCCCTGTGAGCTAAGCAGATGTGGGAGCTGAAGGGGCTGCCCGGGCTGGAGACAGAGAGCGCCCTATATGCTCTGAGCCAGCACTTCACCCATGTACATACCCTGACACCTGTCCCTCCCCTTCTCTCCTGACTTACGCCCACTGGGCCTGGCATTCTGAGTCATCAGCATTGTACCTGGCACTTCTATTTTGGGAGCCAGGGCAACCCTGGGGGAGTGAGGGAACTCCCCACCTTGTACAGGCAGGACACCTCGAGGGCAGCCAACTCCAATCCTTTGTTTCTCTGTCCTCCAAAAGGGTAGTCTCCAAGGTGCTATTTATGGATCAGGACAGGGTGGAGGTCACTGTTCCCTCACACAGTTGTCTGTGTGAGTAAATTCATTGCCTTCTTTTTTTAATAAATAAATTTTGTTTTATTCAAATACCAAAAGATTCAGAATCAAACATGGTTATTGAATTTACTCAACCTGATGAAAGGCATCTCCAAAACCCCTACAGCTAACAATATAATTAAAGGTGAAAGACTGAAAGCCCCACCCCAAGATGTGTGTCATCACCACTTTTATTCAGTGTTGTGCTGGAGGAAGTTCTAACCAGGGCAATCAGGCAAGGAAAAGAGGAAGTCATCCAGGCCAGGTGTGGTGGTGTGTGCCTGTGATCCCAGCACTCAGGAGATGAGGCAGGAGAATCTCAGAGAGTTTGAAGGCAGCCTAGGCTCCATAGTGAGTTCAAGGCCTGCCTGAACTACATAACAAGATCCTGAATTACATAGGGAAACCCTGTTTCAAAAAGCAAAGCAAAGCAAAAACAAGAAATACAAACTCTCCTTCCAAAAGACATAATCTTATATCCACTGAAAAAGTGTTAGAAATAAGTTCAGGAAGGTGACAAAATACAAGACCGACATACAAAAGTTAATTATATTTTTATATACTCACACTGAGCAATCCAAAAATAAAACTAATACAAATTCTGTTTCTAATAGCATCAAAATGTGTTATTTAGGAATACATTTAACAAAGTAAATGCAAATCTGAAAAACACAGAACATTGTTGAAATAAAGAGGATCCTAAATAAATGGAAAAACATCCCATGTTCATGGATAGAAAGAATTAACAATGTTAAAACGACAGTACTCTTCACCCTGAGCTAGAGGTTCAACATAATCCCAGTGAGAAAGCCAGCTGACTTTTTTTGCTTTGTTTTAGTACCGGGGATTGAACTCAGGACCTTGCACTTGCATGGCAGGGGTGGTGCCACTGAGCTACATCCCTGACCCCCAGCCAACATTTTTGTAGAAGTTTAGATGATTCTAAAATGTACATGGAATCATAAGTAACACAATATAATAAAAATTATCCTGGAGACATTATCCCATCAGCTGGATACTATTAGTGTTGGTCCACTGAATAAATACGGAAATTAAGAAAAAAATTATCCTGGAAAAGGAAAACAAAGTACGAAGACTCATACTTCCTGATTTTAAAACACATTCCAGCTAACTTGCAACACAGGTGCCAAGACCATCTAATGGGAAAGGGCAGTCTTTCAATACTTGGCATGGTGACAACTGCAAACAGATAGCCACTTGCAAAAGAAAGAAGTTGGGATCTTATCCTGCCCTCCATAGAAAAATGAACCTAAAACCGATCAAATATCTAAATGGAAATGTGAAACCTACTGCACTCTCGGCAGAAAACACAGGGCTAGATCTTCATGGCCCAGTATTTGGCAAGGCTCAGTAAGCTTCTTTTGAATAAAGAGCTGGGAACTGCAGGGAACAGAAGACTGGTGGAACACAGAGACAGGGCTGGTGTGAAGGATTAGAGATCAACCTTAAATATGTACCTGCCGGACAAAACCCATGCTGGGGACTCAGCTCCCATCTCTGAAGGTCAGGTGGCTCATGAGCTTCGGAGGTTATGACTTGTTCAGTGAAAATCTGTGGGGACAAAGCAGGAACTGGCATGAGAGGTTTCCAACTCTCACCCACCTAGAGATCAACCTCATATCCCTTTCCCTCTGCATCCAAAACTGAACAGAATTTGGATCTTTCTCCCAGTTCTAAAACTCTCAACCATTTATTTGTATTCATATTTGTCTGCTGGTCTCTTAGGGATGGCAAAGTAATATATACCTGAACATCTCTCCTCTATTCTTTTCTCCTATTAATAAAAGTTTTGTCAGATAGTAGAAACGTATAGGAAAGTTTTTGTAAACATGAAAGAAATCATATCCCAACCAGAAATTACATCCTGGAATCTTTTCTTATTTACTTTACTAGTTGACTATATATGTGTGAATATTCTGTGTCCAGCTCCCTCTTTTTATCTTATACACACAAATATGCCTTCTAAAAACTAGTCAAACCAGGCCTGGTGGTGCATGCCTGTAATCCCAGCACTGGAAAGGCTGAGGCAGTAGGATCACTGCAAGTTAGAGGCCAGCCTAGGCTACACAGAGTTCAAGGCCTGAACTACACAGTGAAACCTTGTCTCAAAAAACCAAAAATAAAGAAATAAAAACTAGAGCCAAACATACATATGATGAAATTTACCATTTTAATCACTTAAGTGTACAGTTCAAAGGTGTGAAGTTCATTTATACTACTATCAATCCAATATCCAGATCTCTTTTCATCTTGCAAAACTGAAAGTCTCTACCCATCAAACAACTGCCCACTCCTCTACCCACTCCCCCACCCCAGCCCCAGACAAGCACCATATTACTCTCTGCTTCTATGAATTTGGCAAATCTGGGTGCCTCTTATAAGAGGAATCGTTCAGTATTTATCTTTTTGTGACTGGCATATTTCACCTAGCATAGCATCCTCATGGACCAATCTTGTTGCAATTCCATGTTAGAATTTCTTTCCTCCTTGTGGCTGTATGCATGTATATAGCACCTTTTTATTTATTCATTCATTCGTTAATAAGCACTTGGGTTGCTTCTACCTGCTGGCTACTGTGAACTACACTGCTACAAACATAGGTGGGTAAAACCCCTTTGAAATTCCATTTTCAGTTCCTTTGAGTAAATATCCAGAAGTAAAACAACTTCTGGGTTATATGGCAATCCTATTTTTAATTATCCGAGGAACTGCCATACCATTTTCTTTTGTGTCTGACCCACTTTATTCACCAACAGGGTCCAAGGGTTCAATTTCTCTACATCCTCACCAAACCTTGTTACCCATTTTTTGATAGACCGTCCTAGTCCTTCCGGTTTTGATTTGCATTTTCCTACCAATAAGTGAGGCTGATGACCATCTTGTTTGGTGTTGGTCAACCATCTGTGCATCTTCTTTGGAAAAAAATGTCTTAGTCAAGTCCTTTGATCATTTCTGAAGAGGGTTGTCTGGGATCTTTTGTTTTTAAAAAACTATAGTGATCCTTTATTCCCAATTTTAGTAGTTCGCCTTTCCCTCCTTGTGTCTTTTTTCTTTGGTGCAATGGCATTTTTCATTTTGATGTAGTCCAGTTTATCTACAAGTATTTTTACTTTCTTTGCAAGTGTTTTTGGTGTCTGATGTAAAAAATCATTGCTTAATCTTTTTTTTTTTTTGGTACCGGGAATCAAACTCGGGCCCTTGTGCTTGCAAGGCAGGCAGCAGAACCACTGAGCCAAACCCCCAGCCCTATTGCTAAATCTAATGTTGTGAAGTTCTTCTTCTATATTTTATTCCAAACATTTTATAATTTTAGCATAAAATCTAGTTTTTTAAATGTGTATTTTTCAGATTGAGAAAAGTTCTCCTCTGTTCATTATATAATGAAGACTTTTGTCATGAATGAGTGCTAGATTTTGTCAAGCACGTTTTGTGTATTAGTTAACACATTCATACAGTTTTTTTCTTCAAATGTTAATATCATGAATAATACTGTTTCAAATGCTAATGCAACTATATTCCTAAAATAAACTACTCTTGTTCATAGTACATTATAAACTTTAAATATTGCTAGATTCAAGTGGCTATTTTAATGAAGGTGGGTTTTTTTACATCTATACTGATAATGGACATCAGTATTTTTTTGTAATATCTCTGTCAGATTTTGGTATCAAGGTTCTGCTGGCCTTCTAAACAGCAAAGAAGTGCTTCCTCCTATATTTTCAGAAACAGTTTATAAAAGATGGTTTTTACTTCATCCATAAAGATGTATAGAATTCATCAGCAAAATGATATAAGCCTGCAGTTTTCATTAAAGATAATTCAGATTATTTTACATTGTGTAGCTCTTTTACTAAGCAGTATTTTTAAGGAATTTTTCCATGTCATCCAAGTTGTTGAATTTATTGGCACAAAGTTATAAGATGCCATTATTACCCTTCAATAGTCATAGTTTATAATAGTCCATCATCAATTCCCAATGTTTGTGTTGAGTATTTCATGCTCTTGACTTTCTTTTCTTTTCTTTTTCTTTTTCTGGGTAGGACCTCATCTGTGTTGACTAGGCTAGTCTTGAATTCCTGGGCTCAAGCAATCCTCCTGCCTCATGCTCCCAAGTAGCTGGGACTACAGACATGTGCAACTGTGCCTGGCTTTTTTTTTTTTTTTTAATCATTTAAGGGGACTAACTTTTGGTTTGTCACCTTTTTTTATTGCTTCTCTTCCATTTCACTAATGGGGGGGTGGCACTGGGGATTGAACACACAACCTTCACACTAAATTATATCTTAAATCAATTTTTATTTTTTATTTTGAGATAAGATTTTACTTAGTCACCAGGTTGTCCGGGCTGGGCTTGGACTTTGATCCTCATGCCTAAACCTCTCAAGAGTATTGGGATTCCACACCCAGCTCATTTGGTTGATTTTCACTCTTATTACTTTCTTCCACTCACTCAGAGTTAATATACACCTACTTATGGGTGATTGTTGTGGATCTTCAGATTATTACTTTTTATACTATTTTTCCTTAAGAACTTTAATGAATTACATGCACAATTCACCCCTTTTTTAAAAAAAAAAATTTTTTTTTTGGTACTGGGGATCAAACTCGGGACCTTGAATTTACAAGGCAGGTGCAGGGCCACTGGACAACATCCCCAGCCCCATAATTCACCCCTTTAATGTGAATGCTCAATAGTCTTTAATATATTCATAGATATACAACTACCACTAAAGCATTTGAATATTTCTAATATGCCCAAAAGAAACTCTATATCCATCAACAGTGATACCTTCTTTCCTCCTTTCTGAGGAGATTGGGGTTGAAATAGGGTCTTGCTGTGTAGTTCAGGTTGGCCTTGAATTTGTGGCCATCCTCTTGCCTCAGCCTCCTAAGTGCTGTGATTATAGGCGTGCACCATCATGTCCGGCTACCACTATTCTTTTAACAGAAGCACTGAAAGTGATATATTTCTCTGGAAGCTCTCCATCAGCAGGATTTCACAAAAATTCTGCTACACATTCGTTATCATTTATTGTGAAATATTTTAAGTTCTCTGTTGATTTTACCCATGAAGCTTGAATTAATCAGTATGTTGCCTAAAACTTGGGGGGATTTTCCAGACATTGATATTAATAATTTAATTCCTTTGAGGCTAGAGGACATAATCTACATGATGTCATTCTGTGTGTGTGTGTGTGTGTGTGTGTGTGTGTGTGTGTGTGGTTCTAGGGATCAAACCCCGAGCATTTGCATGTTGACAAGGATTCTACTTCTGTGTTACATCCACAGCACCTCTGTGCCATTTTAAAGTCTTCTTTGAGACAGGGTCCAGGCTGGCCTTGAACTTGAGATTCCCCTCCCTCAGTGTTCTGGGTAGCTGGGATGATAAGCATGCACCACCATGTCTGGCATGATTTCATTTCTTTTCCATGGATTTAGATTTATTTCAGTCCATAGTGTGGCCTATCCTGAGGTAAGCACCATGATTAGTAAAAACTGAGTTTTCATTAGGTAGTTCATGTGCTCCAGACCTGTGAAGGTGCCTGATAATATTCACATATATTACTGCACTTTCATTTGACCATTTCATCAATCGCCAAAGAAGAGTTGTTGTGATCAGTCTTTCATCTTGTAACTTTGTGTACTCAAAGCTCTAGTATTACTACGAGTATTTATGATTACTATGGATTCCAATAAATTCATGTGCTTTTTTTTCCCAATACTAAGACCCAAATCCAAGGCCTCCCACATGCTAGGCAAATACTCTACTGTTGAGCTGCACCCCAAGTTCCTACGTTTACATTCTCAACACTACCAGGGATCCTGCCCTTTTTTCTGAAATCTCTGTAATATCAAGTGAAAACTTAACAATTAGTTCCAGGTGTCCCAGCTCCTGAGCTGATGTCCAGTATTTCATCCAGCCCTTTCTACCCTGTCCTCCACCTGCCGTGTTTTCTACCACTTCCTCCAAGGCGGCGGGGCGGAGGAGATAAGGGCAGAGTTAGCCAGAGCCTCAGAATGCAGGTTACTCATTCACCATTCGCCGAGCAGGGCAGAGCTTGCCTGGCTCCTGCTGATCTCAGGGTCCCAGGATGAAACTTCCTTCCTTTCCTCCTGATAGCTCTGGTTCACAGGGACGGGGCCTGAGACAGAAGTGATCTCAGGGATCACAGAGGGGGAAGGAGTCTAGAAGCGGAGTGATGACAGTGATAAAGAAAAGTAGTGAGGAAAGGTGGAGAAGAGGCTGTGTAGTTGTTCCTGGGTGGCACTCATGGTGGGATCTAGCCTGTGGACAGAGCAGTTGCATCAGCCCAAGCCAGAGTATTATGTCATGAGGGCGAAGATATTTCCCCTGTTGTTCAGCATCAGCTAGATGAGTCAGGAATAGGAGTTTCCATAACTCATCCCCCTCCCAAGAGTCTTGAGTAAACTCAGACTTTAGACCTTCCTAGGGACAGCACTGACACTGGCTGTATTCTCTGGGAAATATCACGTAATGTAACATCAGTTTAAGACTCATTGCTCTGGTCTTCCTGGTTGTCTGAGGCTTGGGGGTTGTTCTGTTCACTACTTTGGTCTTTGGTAGGAAGAAGCAGGGATCTGCTTCTCTTGTCCTCTAAATAACTTCCACTTCCGCTCTTTAAACTTGCTTCTTTTGCTAGACATTCGAGGGACCTGTGATAACTGAGCATGTGGCTGATGGGTGGAACACATTCCTCCATGTGGGACACGCCAGCACGATCAGGAGATCAAGGCTGCCGCCACAGTTGAGACTGTCCCCACCC